AGAAAACTGGCATCTGTCTCAGAACAAATACCAACACCACTCCCTGACCCGACTAAAAGAAAGTCGACGGCAGATCAAGTATCGCCATCACAAGCAAGCGCTACCTCTATACCAATGCCCATTCAAACTGGTCAGTCAAGTCAGTCAACAAGGCCCGGCTACGTACGAGGTCAAGTACTTTCTTATGCAAGAATGCCTGACATTCCTATACTGTTAGAAATCAGTCCCAAGCTATCAGTGTCTGAATCTGTAGGGGATCTACAAAATCAAATCTCCTCGTTAGAAAAACATACCAAGCAGGAAAAAGATACAAAGAAATTGTTCAAGGGACTGAGGGTCGCTACTGCAGCAGCTTGTGAAGAGGGAGTCGATAAGTTTATTGAAGAAATTACCGGTTACAAGGTTCGAAAATTACTTATGGATATTAGTGCCTTGGATGGACTTGGTGTGAATACATTGGCACATGTTGCAAGACAGACGGCTCAGAAAAGAAGAGGAGATCTTAGGAGGTTGCAGATGACTAAGATCACCAAAGAGGAGGCCAGAGAAAGAAAACTTGGAAGAGGGCTCGGATCTGGTGACGGTGATGGCGATGGTGACGACTCGTGGAAACATAGCTTAGAAGAGGTGGCTAGGATGGAGAGAAAGGGGCAGGGAAGAGGAAAATTACCAAGAAGTCAATCTGGAGAGTTCAGGCGTAAGCAGAATAGTAGTTTGGAAAGGGAAAGGGAAAGGCCTTCTAGAGATAGAGCGTTAGGGTTGGTGGCGGGAGACCAGGGGGTGAGGCTAAGGGAAGAGGCAGAAGCTGCTTTTGATGAGGTTAGTGCGAGAGAAGATTAGTAGTGAGGCTTCGAGGGCTGAGTGGTCTGCTGTATTGTAGATGCTCTACCTATGTATACCTACGGAATGCATCCAAGATATGAACAATACGATTTGTTTCCATGCGTAACATAAACTACTTACTACAGAATCAGGATATAGTGACGGGCTGTCATCAGATTGAAGTTCTGAGTTCGAGGAGGAAAGTGGGAGCTAATTATCGGAGGTGTAACGAACAATTGAAGACTTCACAAGTGTTATTAAACGAATAGCTTAATATTGCAACATGAATTTGAAGAATTGGAGTCAAATGCTCAGATCATTTGCAAACAACTCACACAAGTACCAATATTATTCACCTACCACACAAATCACCAGCGCAATACTATTCAATATTCCATCTGAAACAATCCTCTTCACGGAGTGAACCCCACATCTCAAATGCAATACATATTCATTCCACGAAAGCGCCTTTGTACTTCCTTTTGAACACAGCTTATTTGACGTGGTAGCTAATTGCGATAAATGGAATGTAGACAAACTGATCATTGTTGTAATTCCACTGTGATAAGATGAAAGCCTGATGTATCCTAGATTCTACTTGCGTGTGTTATAAGAAAATTTGTATGACTGTGAGATGAGGATTGCTAGAAAATCAAGCTTGAGAGGAATATATATATATATATATATACTGAGTTTGTAAGGTTTGTGACGAATATCTTTGGGACAAGATGGGGTATACCTGTTATAAACCTTACACTCGACTGTTATAACAATGCGAAGAAGCTTGAACTTGTAGAACTTCGGAGGGAAACCGCAGTTTGGACGAGGGAAAAACGAAGTTGCGAGATTGTTCGTCGCGTCGTTGAATATCCATTAACCATATATATTGGCGATCGATGCGATTGAGTGATGGATTGGGATTACAAGATTAAGGAGTAAGAATCCTTCAGCTCCGAGTACAACAAACTTTTGCTGGTTTGGAATAGAGTGCTCAATCAGTAATGGTTTCGGGACCTTGTCATAACTTTGTGAGTCTTTCGTGGGAGAATAGCCTTTTTTCCTTCTCGTATTTGTTGTTAAGATTTAATCGTTCATCACCGCCATGATTCCTGACTAGGAGGTCTCATGACTCGGAAAATGACGGTTGTTACGATGCTTTGACATTTGGACATACAGCAAAACCTCTCTATAAGGATATCGATTTTTGTAGTCTTTTTTAAGGATATATAGAAGTATCCTTATATAGAGGTTCTGCTTAATCCCGATATAATAATAATTCCCTTCCAATTAGTTCCGATCAGATTATATTCCATAACAATTTCGGAATTTTTTCTACTTTTATAAAATGTAATTAGATTCTTTATATAATAGTTCAAATCCTAATAATATTATTGATCCAATAAGAATATACATATAATTTTGGGATCGAGAAATATAAGGATATTCTAATAAAAAGGTTTTAAGAATATAGGCTTTTTTTAAATCTAAATTCTTTTAGGATCGAAAAATATATTCTTATAAAGAGGTTATCCTTATAGAGGGGATTCTTATAGAGAGGTTTTACTGTATTGATATTCCATCTCTCGACAAAACCAATTGCTAAGAACATCAGCTCGCACTTGCGATTTTGATGAGAACTCATTTGTAGATACAGGATGTCCAACGTAGTCTCAAATGCAGGATTAAACGCTGGAATCATAGACATACAGAATAGAGGAGCTGTAAGGGAGGTAAGCAAGTGAGCTGTCAAACAATCGTGAATAATGTATGGCATGCCAAGACAGCCTTAAGAAGCATCAAGCCTTCCTAAGGAGGGTCCCTAAGCTTCTTCTCGCTTCTTTCGCGCCGCCCCTTCATTTCAATTGAAAGTCCAGTAAACAACGGATGCGATTCAAGTGAGGTATATAAACAAATTCTCAAACTCGTATCTCAAACGCTCCCGTCAAATTTCCCCTTGCCAAGAAGAAAAAGAAGAAGAATCTCATTCGTGATCATCAGATATTGGATAAGCTTATTTTTCACCGGCGGAAACTCCATTGCTCGAGAGTACAATTCAGGGTGTTCACGGTCATTTTTCGGACGAGACTTGGGGCATTCAAAAAGAGCTCAGGCCGAATCTTGTTACCGGAGTGAAACCTTTTTGCGCACAGTTGTAACTTGTCACCCTGAACCTGAAAAGATAAAGACTGTATGCTGTTAGAGTGGCTCAGTAAGGTCCACCCTTATCAGGTTTCCACCGCGTGATATCGTATTGTTAACGGATTTTGAAAAGCCCCCGAGACATACCGAGGACTAATTGGTACAGTTAGCGAGGTCATGTGTGATGATGGAGATGGTGAGAGCAAAAGGATACGAGAGCGGATACTTCTCATTTTTGCGATCGAATATTGATTGCTGGCTAAGAAGAAAAAGGGATGTGATGGTTGGCCTGCCAGGACCGAACCATGAAGAACAACAGGTAACCGTGGGAACTTCTACCAACATGTGTACCTTGGAATATTGCTCTTGCTGAAAAAGAATGATACAATGGCACACTTCAATGATGATGATGGGTCGTAGATCAACAGCGATCAGTGGGAATAGCAGAAGAAAAATTTGGCTGGCAACCAAATTTTAAAGTTTAGCACAATTTATGTAAGTATCGTCAGCAGCTTACGTCTCATAACACGAAAGCCATTGAGAAATGGAGTCATGAACACAGCAAGAAGCGTAACACCGCTCTATCGTGCATATGATATATATGAATGTGGTATACAAATATATTGTATTGGCCGTAGAACGGTAGGACGGAAGAATGGCTTGTAGATAGTCATTGCCTTTCAATCTAATTGTCGGTACCGATGATAATTCGTATCGTAAAGGCATCCAAATTACGGCAAGTACGGCAGTGAACAGTGACCAAGACATTGTTGACCCAATTTTCGGTTCATCTCTTCCTCTCTCTCTATCTATCTCGCTCAGTAAAAACAGAAGTGGCACAGCCAGGACCAATTCTTCAAATTCCAAAAATAATTTAATTTTTTTCTTTCCCCTTTCTAGCTTCTTTTCAGTACCGTATGATGTACTCAGCCGCCGTCGTTAAGCCTTTGACTACCAATACCTAGGTAGACAGTAATACGAACTAAGTTGACCTGGACATACCGGACCAATTAAATCCCATGTGTTCCTGAGATCCTTCTTTACAGATGCTTACTACATCGTACTTCTTTAGATCTCCACTAGGAATTACCTTGGCTCTAGGGTCCAGTGGATCACATCAAAATCTGCAGCCCAACTTCCAAGAAGTCGTGGCATTTTGCTGGAAACCATAAAACCGACCTTCTGTTTCACTAGACGGCCACCAGAAAGCATAACGAATGCTGAGTGGCTGAAAGTTCACAAGAATCCAACAAGCCAAGCTAAAACACATAGCTAGAAGTGACTTTAGTCATCTAATCTTCCCACAGGATCAAACCAAATATTATTTCATATGCTTTGGAAATGGGATGGAATATGCATACCGACCGGTACTCCTCTCTACCTTGACTGTTAGTTCATCATTTCAACTGCCCGTGACACGAGAAACAAAGTCAATAAATATATGGATCTCACATGGAAACAACATCGTAATTCTGAAGAGAGAAAAAAGCGAGCCACTTTTTTCTGGAGCCACAAAACACGAAGGGGAATAACATAACGTACGTGCTCATCCGTCGCCCCATCATTGATACGGTCGATCATGTATCCCTAGGTATCGCAAGTGTTTTCATTTGATATTGTGAGGAGGCCTTCGTACCTGCATCATAATCAACAAATAAATCACCACCCACTCCACAATAAGTAATCCACCCTCCACTGAATTCAATTTAGCACTTTACGATGCATCTTAAAATGGATCTGGTGTCTCTTCCAGGAAGACGTATACGATAATGTTATTTCTTGCCCTGAACGATTTAGTTTGGAATGACATGGCATTAGCCTCCCTAACGCCTCCCCTGCCTCCTTTCATGACAATGCTGAAAACCCTCGCTTAACCAATCAGAAGAGGGAAGGAAGTTCTGATACAAGGTTCGTTTGACCACGCCCCCGCCCCTCGTTTGCTTACAGCGACAAGGCTGTGTTCGGAATTCGAGTTTGACACCATGGACCATTGACCATGACCAGCCCACACGAGCGTGCGGGAGGAAGAAGTGTAAAATGCAGGAAAAAGAAATTATTGAAATAGATCAAGTCCCCAAGATTGGTTTGTGTTTCCTTCCCGCCTGGTACCTCGTCTCCACATTATCTTGTGAATACTTATTGACCTCACATCCCCCTCCTCCCAACGATCTTTCTGGAAATTCCTCTCTCCACATCTTGGCATTGATTTGATTTTCTCTATTTCATCATCCTTCTCTCTGAAAAGTGGTTCTTCATATCGAACGGTTCATCTTTCGTTTGGATCTTCGCTTTCATATATCTCGACTCCCTCACATTCGCTTTGCGTTTTTGCATCGTTTCGTACTTGAAGTCCGGTACTTGTACTTTTGTGCTCTAATCAGCTCATCTCCTCGCATACCACACACACACACACATATCACACATTTCAAAATGCGTTCCTCAACAATATCAGCATCTGCTGTTGTTCTCCTTTCAGGACTGGCCAGTGCACAAACATTCACCGATTGCAACCCAACAGAAAAGTGTAAGTTGGATGAAGACGCATGACTTGCAACATAAAACTAACAAATATACAGCCTGTCCTGCAGACCCAGCCATTGGAGGCCTTCAAGTGACCGACTTTACCGCTGGAAAGAGTGACTATTGGGAAGTCGAAGATGGAACCACCATGACATATGACGGCACCCTCGGTGCGCAATTCGTCATCAGCACCGCCACCAATGCACCCACCATCAAAAACATCGGATACATCATGTTTGGCCGTATCGAAACATGGGTGAGAGCATCCGCCGGAACGGGTATCGTCAGTAGTTTTATTCTCGAATCCGACGATCTCGATGAAATCGATTGGGAATGGCTCGGATCCAACAACGCCGCAGCCGAGAACAACTTTTTCGGAAAGGGAAACACCACGACCTACGACCGTGCCCAATACCCAGCAGTCGCTACCCCCATCGACACCTTCCACAACTACACCATTGACTGGACCGCCGAGTCCACCATCTGGTACATCGACGGCGTCGCCGTGCGCACGCTCCTCTACAACGACGCGCAAACCATCGGCGGAAAAAACTACCCCCAAACCCCCATGCTAGTCAAGATGGGAAGCTGGATCGGCTGTGCCAGCGAAGCCGCCGTGACGGATCCCGCCACCGCAGGAACCTGCTCCTGGGCCGGCGGAGCCGTCGATCTCACTAAAGGTCCTTTCACCATGTACGTCAAGAACGTCACGATCCAAGACTATGGATGCGCGACCGAATACACCTACGGCGATTTGACCGGTGCCTACACCTCTATCAAAGCCACCGGCGGCTGCAACGCCGACGGATCGGCTTCGTCCAAATCGACATCCCCATCCTCATCCTCGTCCGCATCCTCCGCTGCATCAGGAAGCTCATCATCCGCCGGCGCCAAATCCTCAAGCGGCAGCTCCACCCTCAGCACCGTAACCGGCACCTCAAGCGGCATCGCCGTCGGAAGCGCAACCGGCACCGCGACTCTTTCCGCCGGCGTAAAAGCCACCGCAGCCGCCGTGTCAGGAAGCACAACCGGTTCTTCGACCCTCGCCCAAGTAACCACCACTTCGGACGCAAACTCGCTCAAGAAACCCAAGCACGAATACGGAATGCTTGATCTTGGGGTTATGGTTTTGGGTCTCGGATTGGGTTATCTCGTTATGTAAACGAGATGGTTTTTTCCTGGAGAGAGGGGAGTTCCTTCCTCTCGGTTTGCGCGCGGATGAGTGCGAAGAGATGTGTACAGTATGAATTGAACTAGACGTATGATTCTCCGACTGGTATATGTATTAGGCGCGAATGGATTTTTTTTCGGGGCAGGCGGATGTTATCACTTTAAGCATGCATAGGTTATGATGGACAGTTTTCTGTCGATGATGATATACCCACATGAAGATTTTGGAGATGTTGAATTTTCCGTTCAGCACGGTTTAGTTGCCACATGGTTTAGAGAAGACAATAGACAGACGAGTGAGAGAGGTTTAGCATAGTATTGCATTGCATATGGACATTGCATTCTGGAAGGAAGGATGATGGGATGGGAGTTTTTTGATACTGGGGTTTATACCATTCAGCGTGTGTTTGATTGTTGATTTATTTATCGAATTCGCTATACTGCAGTTTAATGATTGATAGAGGAGAGGAATAAAAGATTCATATTTTTATATATACATAGGTACGTGCATATATGTCTAGTGAATAGGTATCTAATGTAAGATTCTCACGCTCGAATATTCTTATGATTCGTATATGGTATGTCCAGATTACGAAGCATAGATTTTTTTAGTGATTGGATTCATGAGAATCTCACCCTATCTAATCAAATCCGATACAATCCTTCGTAATACATACCGAATCTCAAATCCCATCCCATCCCATCCCTTCTCATCTCATTCCAAATCTCTCCGGCCACAAATCCCATCCTTCTAAGTTGTAAGTAATTCTAGTACGACATGAATTCAAGCGATCCTCTCTAAATTTTAACTCCCTCCATAATCCCATATACTAGATCATCCCAAATCATTCCATCTCATCATCTCTCTATCTCTCCACTTCCTCAGCTACCTTTCAATCTCAACTTTTGTCTTTCTAACCTTAAATTCTCCTTCTCCTTCTCCTTCTCCTTCTCCTTCTCCTTCTCCTTCTCCTTCTCCTTCTCCTTCTCCTTCTCCTTCTCCTTCTCCTTCTCCTTCTCCTTCTCCTTCTCCTTCTCCTTCTCCTTCTCCTTCTCCTTCTCCTTCTCCTTCTCCTTCTCCTTCTCCTTCTCCTTCTCCTTCCCTCCCCCTTCCCTCCCCTCCCCATCCACCACATACAACACATACACAAACCCACCAACCCACCAACCTACTCCCCCCACCCCCACCCTCATCCATTTCCATCCCTCCTTCCAACCCTCCACCCACAAACAAACCATATCCACACATCATAAGTATAACTACAACTACAATTTAAACTACAATTACTATTACAATTACCTACATCCCCCATCCAACTAACCTCCACAAACTTCCACAAACTCAACAGCCAACCTTAAACCTTAAACCTAAACAAACAACATATAAAAGCCGCGCATTCCCAGTATATATCCAATAACTTACCCAATAACTTACCTCCTACCTCCTCTCCACAATCCAAAAATCTCCTCCTGTTATCCCCCAAGTTTCTCTCCTCTACTAACATATTCCCTTATTTTCCCTGTAAAGATATATATAAACATTCATCCCACCCCTTTCTCTCATCTAAACCTCAGAACAGAATAGCATGGCACAAGCCCTAATTTCACTATGATCACATCAAAAGCCTCATGTGAGTATAAAAGTTGGTATCATTATATACGTCATCTCCTAATCAAGTTGGATGTAATATCAAACGAGAAGCCTGGTACTTTACTAGTCCAGCCATTATCTTCCCATTCCACCCCTAAAGTTCACCAGGCTGCACCGATCGATCTATTGTTTCCCCTCCCATTCCACCCCATCCAACTGTCCTGAAAGTCGTCCCCGAGACCTCTTGGGTATCCAGTCTACCGTCCTACCATCCTCCAATAATACATATTCATCCATTCATCCATCCCACGTAACTCCCATCATAAATCTTTTGACCCCCTTCCCCATCCTTCCTTCAAATTCTCTCGTCTAAAGTCACTTCCAACTCCTGATTCCCAATTTTCGCAAAAGTCAAACCCTCGCACGCTAAAAGTAGACCCGATCCAATAACATATCTTGATCATGCTTCAAAAGAAAAACATTCAATAGTTTAAAAAAAAGTTTGCATTGAGACCAGACCAACAAATGGGTCCAATGCAAAATGTAATATAGAAAAAAAGTATGGGTATAACCTCCTCTCCTTCCTCTGATATGCTAAACGAATTGATTGTTCGATGCTCATATAGTTATGAATTGATAATGGTATGTAGAAGATGACATTGTTCGTTTCCTTGGGGCCGCTCGCGTGGATGCAAGGTAATATACAAAAAGTCAAAAGGGTATTGAAAATTTGCTTGCTAATGCTGCACCTGAAAAATTCAAAGACGAAACAAATATCGTCGTTATTATGATTACAGTCGTGTTTTATGTAAATTCTTGTTGGTGATTATAGATACGTCTAGGGCACCTGTCCGAAGTCGTGTATGGCTCGTTGATTCAATGATTGATATTTGTCTAATCGAAGAATGATTCCTCGTCGACTAAACCTATAATCCTTTCGTCAATATACGTGATCGGTAGAAATTAAAAAAATTCCTTACGAGGATCATTCTCTTTCAATCTATTGGTAGATTTCTTCTGTCCCAACCCCATGCCCATATTGAACATGCTACTTTCTCTCCTCTTCGATCTAGAGGCCCCGTATTGCTGGTCATGGGAAGAAGCTCCTAGCGTATTGCCTCGACTACCATACTCAGGCCCAGCCATTGCGTTGAACCCAGCAAATCCTGGCCCTTGCTGACCAAAAGATTGCTGATTGAAGGATGGTGTTGGGAGATCCTGCTGAAATTTTTGGCGTCGAGGAGAGCGGATATCTTCAGGAGACAGAGCGGGAGCGGTAACCGTAACCTCCACAGGACGACGATCCTGGTCGTTAGGCTCATTTTCAAAGATGCCATCATATTGTTGCAAGAAAAGGGCAAAAACAGGAGCTGGAATATTGAGAGTTGGTGAGAATACAATCCCAACATTTCTAACCGTCATCTTGTTTACATCTGAATGATTGATGATGTTGATGAGGAAACCGGCCAGATACCTGAGCAGAATGTTGTTTGCTCGTGGTAGCCTGTGGACCAAACCATTGAGAGCACTGATTTTCTCATTTACGTCGTGAAGCTCTGTGACTGCAATAAATTCGAGGTGAAGTTCACGGGTCAATATAGTGGTTGGCAGCTCTCTCAAGTATAGCTTCAACAGAGAGGCCACAGCATGTATGTCATAGTACTGATCGTCAGTAACTAGGTTCACGTCTCCCTCGACATTAAAGCGTTCCCGAAGCTGTCTGATGACAACGTTGGACCCGCTCAATCTGAAAATTCCTTCTTCACCTGCAGCATTCTTCGCATCTAAGTATTCAATGCATCGATAAATAACTGCTGGAAGCTCAACTTGAACATCAGCTGGATGATTGTACCTCACAGCTTCAGTTAGTGGAGTTCCAAAGACTGGTCTAATTGGACCATGCTGATCGTAGGCCATCTGGGACAAATTATGATTTGACATATTGATTGACAAGTCTGGTAAATCTACCGATGGTCTTGGTTTTGAGCCAAATCCGAAAAAGCTACGTTTCTTCTGTTTGATTTTTTCGTCTGGGAGCAATGTCCCCGATTTATTTCCCCATGACCCAGCATCCTGAATTGGGTGGGCGTTCTTTGGACCAGAAATAGATTTCATGGATTGAGAGTGTGGGAATGACATGGGATCTCTTTCGTGGCCGTGACTTGGAGGCGACGGTGTGTCTGAGTTCTTCAATTTCGAGCCATGTGGTGCAGCGCCTTGCTTTGTCATATCATAGCCAATAGCACGAAGATCATTGTTCTCGCCAAGCTTTCCTTGAGCACTTCCCTTTCTTCTTCCATGTGGATGAGAGTTGCTTGAGCCAGAGCGAGCATGACTTGGACGACGATGCTCATCCTCATCTTTATAATCAACGTATCTAAGAAGAGCCTCGACCCATTCATCGCGTTCCTTATCGCTCTCCGCACACAAAACATGTCTCACAAGGCTAGAAGAATCTTTTCTCTTCGGCTCCAAAATCAAAAACGCGTGTCGATATTGATTGTCAACGTCATCACCTTCCCCTCGGGAAGATGGTGAGGCATCAGTCTGCTGGGATTGTTTTCCAATTTGAGCACCTTGAAGTTTGATGGTTCCTAGATGTTGTCCGCCAGGCGATTCATAATATTTGAACACTGGGCCGTCCAACACAAAGAATCGTGCTTTCCAACCTCCAAAGTTTTTACCTTTCTTGGTTAAATAGCCATTCTTTAAAGGTCTGCCACCTGGCCCAGTCTTCACAGGACTTTCGGAACCCGTATCACTACTTGGAGTCAGGTCATCGGCGTGTGGCTCCATCGTATTTGAGGACAAGTATCGACAGATCTCCAACGCAGATTTGGTATCCAGCTCCGTATTGAGGAGCTCATCAAGATAATGATCGAGCGCCGCACGCCTAGCATCTATCTTAGCTGGAGAATGACCACTGAAGAGATATTTATCCGGCGTCCTTGCTGTAAATGTAGGGCACTGTTTCAAGATCTGGTCTAATTGCACCAATGACGCCGAGTCTTTCTCCACTCTCCATAGTTCTTTTCCATCCGATCTCGCGAATACTGCAAGAGTGAAGACAGGATCAGTCTCTAGGTTGGCTGGAAACATCAGACTAGCTCTTGAAGGCTTCAAACGTGACGAAGCCACCTTCACATCTATTGAAGGTAAAGCATTTGGGGGAAGAAGTAGATCTGGGTATTCCTCGGTAACAAGTCCTCTATAAATCACATTTCCAGAATGACTGGAAGACGGAGAGTCACTTGGTCGCCTTCCTTGAACACTTTCATTGACTAGAGTTTCCTCAGATTTGAGAGTGTTGAGAGTCTCCTCAGATCTTTTACTGATTACCAGTGGTTGCGGGGAAACGAGAACTAAAGGTTCCGCACGGGGTGCATGAGGGGAACCAAGGGACATTGGAGTACCGGGAGGAAGAGGAATTGGCTGTCGTGGAGCTCGTGGTGATAATGGTATGGCACCTGGGAAAGCGCCCATTCCTCGAGGAGACAATGGAGGTGAAGCCATTGATGAGTGAGATGAGTTGTGCCTCGAGGACATACCCATCGGTCTTGGGCTTTGTGGCAAACCAGGACTCATCAATGGAGGAGACATCATCCCTGTCTTTGGAGGAGGTGATCTTGATGCATTCAACATACCCGCCAAGGAACCGGTACTCTCATCCGGTGGGGATCGAGCCCGCAAATGAGCATCTGGTGGTGAGATTGGAACAGTGGCTCGCGGGCTTAGAGGCATTGCTGGTATCATTTCTTTTGGTGTGGTTGATGCTGATTTTGGAGTTCCTTTAACGCTACCCTTCGAGCTCTTCTTCGAAAGGCTCCTTGCCTCAGCATCTCGTGCCGCTGCAATCTCTCGCACTCTATCATCCTCTTCTCTAGTCTTCCGTCGACCTCTATCAGGGAACGATGGGATCTCGTCAACCTCCAATATATCATCATAGTCCGAATCAGACTCTTCTTTCGTCTCCGAAGCCTGTCGTAAATGCGTACTAGGCCCAGTCTTTTTGCCAAGATTGAGTGGCGCCGGTGGAGCTTTTCTCGGCGGTGGAAATTTGGGAGATCCACGATCGACCTTTGGCAATGATTCCATGATTGCCATCGAAGGGCCTTGTGATGACATAGGCAGAGGGAGCGGTACTGTCGGTGGTGGTCCCCGTGGAGAATCCAAAGGGAGATTCCGTGAAGGTGGCACGCTTGCATTATATGGCATGTCACTGGACACCGCTTGGTTCTTCCTTTGAAGTTGAGATGCCTCAAATCCTAAGGGTGGAGAATCAGGATTGTATTGCTGAAAGGCATGCTTAGTCGGCGAAGGCATCTTCTGCTCGGCCTCGACCATATTAGATAGTCCCGGTGTTGCTAGTGCTGGAGGGGTAATTGGATACGGCGCTAGAGCACAATCCATGGGCGAATGTTGTGCTGGAGATTCATTCTTCGACCCATCGGAGTTCAAATGTCCGTCGATACTTTTTTGAACCGAGATCTCAGCGATCCTTGATTCTGAAGTCATCTCTCCCGATTCTGACGTTGGACCTTGTGTCGAATCTACAGGTGATGGATTCGCATTTTGTGTGAGATTCTCCTTCAGCTTTTTCCTGTACCGCTCCTTGTCTTTTAGGGCTCGCTCAAGGTCCTTGTTTAAC